ACTAACATTAGTGAGGGAGGAGCGAAATTAGAGGGCGGCCAATTATAACGCGCAAAACCGACCTGACACATGGTCTTCGGCGGATCGCAGTAGTAGTAGGAGTTGTCAATCATGGTGACATAGCGTTGGTCCATGTGGACGGCGGTCTTTTTGCGTCGCATCACCTCCAGGTAGGCCTTGGTGCGCAGATGCGACTGTGGTGAACGGTAGAGAAACCGCCCGCATGTGTCCAGCAGGCCACAGGCCATCTCGATCTGGTGATGCACAAAGTTGGGCAGGAGACGCTTGAGGCAGGAGAGGGCGTCGTCCGCGGCGAAGATCCTAAATTTCACCAGTTCACCTGTACGGGGGGAAGAGAGATGGGGAGATGGGGATAACAGTTAGGTCGCATCAAATTTTTGGAGGCAGTAACCAGTAACATCAGGGAAGTGAAACGGTGGCAAGTACACAGTACATGATCCAACTCAGGCAAAAAGGATAGTTCAGCGTGTATTACGGGACGGGTAGTAATGGGGATTTTATTACTACAGTAGACGCCACGGATCACGCAACATTTCGACAAAGGCGAAATTCAAATATATCTTATGGAAAAAATGCACGAAAAAACTAGGTCTTGTACTCGTTTGATAGCAAATTACGCCTTCTTCGAATTTTATACTCAAACAAAGGTTAGTTTTCGGTTATAAAAAAGTTACTTAATAGCCGAATAATTTTCTAACCTAGTAACTGCTACACTCGGATTCAAGGTTTAAACACTGCGCACTGTGTACATCCTGTTTGAGGAAAAGTACGTTTTCGCCTACTGTTTGAGGAAAAAGTCACTTAGTTGTCATAAAATATTGAAATAGATGTGGAACATATTTTATGCAGCATAGGCAACATTAATAAATTGGCGTATACGACGTATTATGAATAATCACTTCACAATTGTAAATAACCTCATAATAAGCAACTTTTTATAACCGAAAGCTACCCTTTCCTCGAGTATAAAATTTAAAGAAGGCATAATTTGCTATCAAACAAGTACAAGACCGAGGTTTTTCGTGCATGTTTTCCGTAAAATATATTTGAATTTATAAAGGCAGTCAAAATCAATGATAAAAAGGCATAAAAATATATTTGAATCTATAAGGGCAGTCAAAATCAATGATAAAAAGGCATACGTCCATGTTTTCTGTGAAATATATTTAAATTTATAAAGGCAGTCAAAATCAATGATAAAAAGGCATACGCCATAAAGTATATTTGAATTTATAAAGGCAGTCAAAATCAATGATAAAAGGCATACTACTTAAAGGTAGTCGGTTTTTACAATATATACGTTTTACTAGGAGTCGGAACGAAGCTCGTTAAAAAAGCCAGTTTTTACAATGGATACTTTTTGCTGGTGATCAGAACGAAGCTCGTTAACCAGTTTTTCACAGTAGATACTTTTTGCTGGTAGTCAGAACGAAGCTCGTTTACCGTTACAATATATACGTTCTGCTAGTGGTCA